GGAAAGAGGGAGGGGGAGAAGGAGGGGGAAAGACAGCTCTGATATTGACATCTGTAGCTGACTAGTGACAATGACCTGTCCCTGAGGTCCCTTCCAATCCCAGTGCTCTGGAGGAGGGATAGAGAAACAGCAAAAAAGGCTGTATTTGTGAACGGAGTCTGTCATTTTGTAGCTGTGTCTGTCTCAGCAGGAGCAGCAGAGACTGAAAGCACTGCAGCATCAGTCCATAAGCTTGCAGCTTGATAGAGCCTTGCTACCAAGTTGTAGCCATTTGCCAACCCTTTCCTATTTCTTTACCCTTGCCTACCCTTCCCCATATATCCTATTTTTTATTATTATATTTTTCCCCCACAAACAAAAAGAAAGCAGTGCTTTGCTTAGAAAGCACTCAATGCACATACATTTAATATCACACACACACTTCTTTCCAGCACATGCAATATGAAGCATGCTGGAAAGGCAGGTGCCAGGTCTTCTGGCTGGGGAGGGAGAAGGGTAAGAGGGAGAGCTGCAAGTTCCTTCCCCCTGCCCACCCTAACTTAGATGCAGCCTTTTCCCTAGCACTAGTAGGCATGAGGCTTCTTCTGGTGCTAGTGGCAGCAAGGAGGTGGAACCAGTGCCTGCATCTGCACCCTCTCCAATAACATCAGGCATAATAATAACCCCCAGCCCCGAGCCATAATAATAGCCCCCACCACCGCCAGCATGACAAGCAGCACACCAGCATGTCATTGACAGTCTCCTCCACCCCAATTTCAGTCCCCAGCCTGCCCCTTCCAGTGCCAGAGGAGGAGCTGAATCTGGAAGCAGGGAACCTGAGCACCCTAGCAAAAGAAACTCTGGGGGCCAAGGAGGAATCTGAGTTTGTGCTCCACACCCCTCAAAGTTCCCCTAAAGCCAGGTCTCCTTCTCGGGAAGGCACTTCTTGGGAGGTTGAGGTTGTAGAGGCAAGTAGCTCAGCTGAGTCCGCTCCTTCTGTTGTCATGCCTCTGCCTGCTGAGGACAAAGTTCCCCTAAAGCCAGGTCTCCTTCTCGGGAAGGCACTTCTTGGGAGGTTGAGGTTGTAGAGGCAAGTAGCTCAGCTGAGTCCGCTCCTTCTGTTGTCATGCCTCTGCCTGCTGAGGAGGATCAGGCAGGATCCACACCTGCACCCCAGAAGCGAGGGGGTAGTGTGGTGTGGGATCATTTTGAGGTGGGAGATGATCCCAAGTATGCTATCTGCCTGCACTGCCGATGTAAGACCAGCCAGGGCAAGGAGGAGAAATACTACAGCACCACAGGGATGCTGATGCATCTCTGCAGGCACCACCCCCTAGCCCTTGCTCCTCCTCAGCCTGACACCGGTAGGAGCGTGCCCAAAAAGAAGTCCCCCTCTCACTCCAAAGCCCGCATCTCCCTGAAGCAGAGGCTGGCCACTCTGGAACAGTGGGGCACAGGCAGATAAAAAGGGGGGTGCATTGCAAATGTGAGCGAGATCACCTAGAGCATCAGGGAGATGCTTGCTCTGGATGGCCAGCCCTTCTCCCTAATTGAGTGGCCAGGGTTCAGGTGGCTCATGGTACTCATTGG